GCATGCTTATGATATTTGAGATAAGAGGAAACGTTCAGCATGCTGGAAAAGGTTTGAAGTGGCTGCAACTCTGCGAGTTTCGCTACAGAAACAAGGTCTCCTTCGATGGGGTGCGAATGGCAAGGTGAGGGGTGTCAATGTGCCTGCTGGTGTGACGCCACTATATTTGCCACTATTATGTAGTATTTTTTTGCCGTAGAAAATGTGAGAAGAGCAGATCTGATTCTAGAAAGGCTCTCAGCTTCTAAATACTAACTATCTCTGCAGCGAACATCTCCTTGAAACAGATTTCAAGAGCTATAGCCGGATGAGGAGGCTGGAGGAAAATGCAGAGCCTTCTGTTTTCAGCTTCCCTGAGCACCTCATACCCCTCATCAAAAAAGGAGAGTTATGAAAGTTCGAGACACTCATGATTCTGACAAAGAAAATGTACCTGAGAGTGGTCATGACAGTAAGGAAGATAATATACCACTAGATATCGCTAGTACCGCTGACCTTGAATATGCTTCTGCCCAAAACACGTCAGAGCAAAGAAACCGCCTGGTTTGAGACGCAGCTTCCAAAGGTTCACCTCCTCTTGTAGGGGACTCTGTCGCCCGGGATTCCCAGCTGGGGAGCCGTATCCGGAGGGACGACTTGAGTCTAGCGAGGGGCGGAGACTCCCGGAACTCGCTTCATCGAGACCTCCCGAATCGCCTCAGCGAATGGGTGCGTGAAGTCTCAGCGAGAGGAAGCCGGCCGGGCTCCGCAGTCGTGTGGATGACAGGAAACGACATATATAACAAGTATACCGGACTGGCCAGTTTCACTGAGGATGGACTTACCACACTGGCCGAGTACGCCATGGACGTCACCAGGGCCCTGCTGGACGTCACCGAGGGAGTGATGGTTCTGGGGACTCTCCCTCGCCTATACGGCGAGGTCAACGGAGCAAGATAGGAGCAGACCTCGGCCTTTCATCTAGAGCGCAGGCTGTTCCACAGGCTCCCGGATGCGGTACAATTCATGCCTCTGGGTGGGCAGCTCACCAAGTAGTGGGCACGCCGCCACTCCTGCGTCGACGGTTGTGCGCGGTGGTACGCCATGGACGGCGTCCACTTGTCCACCGACGGGTACGCCAGGCTGGCAGACACATGGGTGCGGACCGGCTGGTAGAGGACGGCATCTGCTGCGGACATCCCCACCTGCACCAGCTGGCCGACGGTTACATGATCGTCATCGAGGGAAAGGACGTGGCCCATGCGGCTGACCTATCGTCGGCCATGATCATGTTCTGCGCGGACAGGTACGTTTTTGATGAGAGCCTTCAAATGTGAGAAAAACATGGTGTGGTTCGTAACCACGCACGTGTTCGGGCTGCCCCGCGGCGAGGTCAAGCCCGACCATGCGGTCGTGGAGACAGTCGCCGCTCTTTGTGTGAAGCCCTGTGGCCTGTTGCGGACCGGCGGCACCCCCGGCCGGCAGGTATACTATTTCGGCTCCACCAGTCATTGTGCAGACTGTACAGTGTGCAGCAGCAGCGGCCCTAGCGGAGACTACACTCAGATTCGATGTGATAGCGATGTTGTAGCATTTTATACGGGGCTACCACAGGAGAAGTTTGACTTCATGGTTGACTGTCTGAAGCGATTTCCCATGACGTACCTACATACCTATATAAGTGGAACGTAGGTGTGCTGGAAATCGCTGACCAACTCCTTCTGACTATACAAACTGAGGCACAACCCAAAGAGCCCAGACCTGGCAGTCAGGTTCGGCATTTCGGAAACGAGCGTTTCCAACGTGTTTCAAAAGTGCATCTGCGCTTTGCACCAGATTTTGAAAGCTGTTTTTGCTCGATTTTATTTTTCAGGATTATGACTGAAAATATTAGGTAAGTGCCTACCTAGGCATTTAGTTAAAAGACGCACTCCCTGACACAAAGCACGGAAACACCTGACTGAAAGCGCAGTCAAATTAGCAACTAACATAATAATTCATTTCTTTGTGGTTTCCTCAAGGACACAGAGAAGTAAAAAAGGTGGCTAGCTGCCGTGAGACGAGCAGCTCTGATTCTAGAAAAGCTCTCATCTTCTAAATACTATCTCTGCATCGAACATCTCCTTGAAACAGATTTCAAGAGCTATAGCCAGAGGAGGAGGCTGGAGGAAAATGCAGAGCCTTCTGTTTTCAGCTTCCCTGAGCACCTCATACCCCTCATCAAAAAAGGAGAGTTATGAAAGTTCGAGACACTCATGATTCTGACAAAGAAAATGTACTTGAGAGTGGTCATGACAGTAAGGAAGATAATGCATCACTAGATATGGCTAGTACCGCTGACCTTGAACATGCTTCTGCCCAAAACACATCAGAGCAAAGAAACCGCCTGGTTTGAGGCGCAGCTTCCAAAGGTTCACCTTCTCTTGTAGAGGACTCTGTCGCCCGGGATTGCCAGCTGGGGAGCCGTATCCGGAGGGACGACTTGAGTCTAGCGAGGGGCGGAGACTCCTGGAACTCGCTTCATCGAGACCTCCCGAATCGCCTCAGCGAATGGGTGCGTGCAGTCTCAGCGAGAGGAAGCCGGCCGGGCTCCGCAGTCGTGTGGATGACCGGAAACGACATATATAACAAGTATACCGGACTGGCCAGTTTCACTGAGGATGGACTTACCACACTGGCCGAGTACACCATGGACGTCACCAGGGCCCTGCTGGACGTCGCCGAGGGAGTGATGGTTCTGGGGACTCTCCCTCGCCTATACGGCGAGCTCCCTCGCCTAGACGGCGAGGTCAACGGAGCATGATAGGAGCAGACCTCGGCCTTTCATCTGGAGAGCAGGCTGTTCCACGGGCTCCCGGATGAGGTACAATTCATGCCTCTGGGTCGGCAGCTCACCAAGATGTGGGCACGCCGCCACTCCTGCGTCGACGGTTGTGGGCGGTGGTACGCCATGGACGGCGTCCACTTGTCCACCGACGGGTACGCCAGGCTGGCAGACACATGGGTGCGGACCGGCTGGTAGAGGACGGCATCTGCTGCGGACGTCCCCACCTGCACCAGCTGGCCGACGGTTACATGATTGTCATTGAGGGAGAGGACGTGGCCCATGCGGCTGACCTATCGTCGGCCATGATCATGTTCTGCGCGGACAGGTACGTTTTTAATATGAGAGCCTTCAAATGCGAGAAAACATGGCGTGGTTCGTAACCACGCACGTGTTCGGGCTGCCCCGCGGCGAGAACAAGCCCGACCATGCAGTCGTGGAGACAGTCGCCGCTCTTTGTGTGAAGCCCTGTGGCCTGTTGCGGACCGGCGGCGCCCCCGGCCGGCAGGTATACTATTTCGGCTCCACCTGTCATTGTGCAGACTGCAAATGCACAGTGTGCAGCAGCAGCGGCCCTAGCGGAGACTATACTCAGATTCGATGTGATAGCGATGTTGTAGCATTTTATACGGGGCTACCACAGGAGAAGTTTGACTTCATGGTTGACTGTCTGAAGCGATTTCCCATGACGTAGGTACATACGTATGTATATAAGTGGAACGTAGGTGTGCTGGAAATCGCTGACCAACTCCTTCTGACTATACAAACTGAGGCACAACCCAAAGAACCCAGACCTGGCAGTCAGGTTCGGCATTTCGGAAACGAGCGTTTCCAATGTGTTTCACACGTGCATCTGCGCTTTGCACCAGATTTTGAAAGCTGTTTTTGCTCCATTTTATTTTCCAGGATTATGACTTAAAATATTAAGTGCCTACCTAAGCATACCTCGGTACAACCTTGGGTACAACTATGTACAACCGACCGACCAATACCTCCGACGCTCGGTACAAATGAGTGTCATGTTAAAAGACGGACTTCCTGACACAAAGCACGGAAACACCTGACTGAAAGCGCAGTCAAATTAGCAACTTACATAATAATTCATTTCTTTGCAGTTTCCCAAAGGAGCCAGAGAAGTAAAAACGGCGGCTAGCTGCCGTGAGACGAGCACATCTGATTCTAGAAAGGCTCTCATCTTCTAACTAAATACTATTTCTGCAGCGAACATCTCCTTGAAACAGATTTCAAGAGCTATAGCCAGAGGAGGAGGCTGGAGGAAAATGCAGAGCCTTCTGTTTTCAGCTTCCCTGAGCACCTCATGCCCCTCATAAAAAAGGAGAGTTATGAAAGTTCGAGACACTCATGATTCTGACAAAGAAAATGTACCTGAGAGTGGTCATGACAGTAAGGAAGATAATATACCACTAGATATCGCTAGTACCGCTGACCTTGAATATGCTTCTGCCCAAAACACGTCAGAGCAAAGAAACCGCCTGGTTTGAGGCGCAGCTTCCAAAGGTTCACCTCCTCTTGTAGGGGACTCTGTCGCCCGGGATTGCCAGCTGGGGAGCCGTATCCGGAGGGACGACTTGAGTCTAGCGAGGGGCGGAGACTCCTGGAACTCGCTTCATCGGGACCTCCCGAATCGCCTCAGCGAATGGGTGCGTGCAGTCTCAGCGAGAGGAAGCCGGCCGGGCTCCGCAGTCGTGTGGATTAGGGTGTGTCGTGGAGGGGGTGATTTTCGCTGATCTTAATGCCGTGTCCGGAATTTGTTGCGCTGATTCATCACAAAACAATTTTTCACTAACATTTGTTTCAAAACTGCGCAGATGTTGGCCTCTGGAGGAAAGTTTGCACCGATGTCAGATGCCCCAGCGCCATCTGTGATACAACACACGGACGACTTAAGAACTAAAGATATGGCTACGAAACTAAAGGTGGCGCCACTGATCGTTTCGAAGTCTTCGATTGTCGGCATGCAATATCAAGGGCATTTGAGCGTCGTTTTTGTTATGATCAGTTTTTTTATTGCAAGCAATGTTATTTTCATTCTGTAATATTCAAATCTGCAAAATTAACTAACTATGGAAATATGCTGAATGTGTTGTCATATACATGTACGATTTATTACGTTTTGGAACCCGAGGATACCGGCTGATATATATTTTTTTGTTATTGATTTATGCTATTCTGCTTTGAATCAAAACAATTCTGCATCGGGTCAAATTCATACCGAGACGGACGGTGGTGGGGAGATAGGGCTTACTGGGGTGGGTATCTAATGATAGCAAAGTCGATTGAACTGATGCCTAAAACACGTGCTACTACGCATCATTTCATCCTGGGTAAGGCAGGTCCATTGCCTACAACCGTGCTGCCGACAAAGGGTGATGTGATTAACTATGTAAAATTTCTCGATCAAGACAGCAACGGGTTCTCGACCACCCGGAAAACGCCAGCTCCTTCAGTTTTCAATCATGTCGCTGTTAGTGTCAGTGAAATGTGGTCGCAAGAGGGCATCCCTGTCCATGGAATTAAATATGTCAAAGAGCTCGTGCGAAAGGAGTATGCTGCATATAAAAACGCGAACAGGACGAAAAAATCTCAAAGGGCGGACGCTGACAATAGCCACTTCTTGAAGCTATTCGACATCGCCATGTGCAAATGTGCCTCCCGTGCGGCGTGCTGCTGTCCGCGAGATGCAAAAGTTCCAAGTGAGGAGTGGCCATTCCTCAAGGACCAGCGACACAAGCGCCGACTGACGCTGGGATCATACGATCGGGCCACGAGTGAGGCGAGGCAGGCGCGTCTGCAGCGTCAGTTATCGCGACACCGCAACCAGCAGCATGGTGGCGCTACGGAGCCTTCTCCTGGGCCGAGCGGCGTTGGCAGTGGCAGCACCGTCGGCGCTGTGCCCGCCGAGCAGCTCCGCCTCGGCGACACTGACAGCAGTGACAGCGGCGGCGGCGACGCCGGCAGCGACTCGTCTGCGGATGACGAAGAGTTTACAGCTCCGACTGCACTTCCGAGTGCCAAGAACGCAGATGATCTGAGGGAGACGGCGCTCGCAGCGGACCGGTACGGCGTTTCTAACCGGGCCGCTGCTGCTATCATAAACGCGTTTCAAGTCGATATCGGGCGCATCAATGAAAACGACATGTCGAACGTCGTCGACGCCAAGAAAATATGGCGCGCGAGAAACATGATGAGGAATGAATCGGCCCGACAAAACATCGACGCAGCTGTGTCCGGAGGAGTAGAGAGCTTGTACTTTGACGGGCGCAAGGACAAAACATGTACCGACTGTTCGGCGGCGACAGACATACAAGAACATGTCGTCGTCCTGTCTGAGCCGGGGAATCTGTACCTGACACACTTCACCCCTCAGTCTGGGAGCGCCATTCACATGGTGAACGAGCTCTACACCATCGCTGTGGCGTTCGGTGAACATGTGAAAGCACTGGGATGCGATGGTACGGCGGTGAATATCGGGACCAGCGGTGGTGTGTGCCGACTTTTCGAGCTGGCGACAAATAAGCCCGTGCACTGGTTTGTGTGCATGCTGCACGGCAATGAATTGAACCTGCGGCACGTATTCAAGACGCTGGACGGCACTACCAGCGGACCTCGAACCTTCAACGGCGCCATCGGCACCAGCTGCGCCGAGGACGTGTGGAGGAGGGAGGTGGCGCCGTTCCAGCCCGTGCCCGGACACGTGCCGGAGATGACAGCCGAGCTGGTCGCCACCCTCAGTCACGACCAGCAGCTGCTGTACCGACTGGCTCTGGCGGTGCAGACTGGCGACATGTCGGACTCCGTGGCGCGACAGAGGATCGGGCCACTCAACCACGCCAGGTCAGTACTCGGGGCGCAATATGAGGCATGTCCGTTATTTCGTGACACATGCATAGTTACGCAAGTAAAATAGATTAACAATTGATCGCACGTACAATCATATGCAGGTATTGTTTATTTCAGAAACATGCAAAGAATGACAAACGAGCATTTAACTTACGTCATTATCAAGTTTGAATATTGTTTAATGAATAAGTTATGCATGCAAATATTATAATAATCAGTTATTAGTTCGTTTCATTCAAAGTAGATACCTATTACCTAATAACTTAGATCGAAACCTCGCTTGTGTTCTTTGTTACTCTAAAACAATACAGGTTTCAAAATACATGTTTATGTTACCATTGGAAACATGAAAGTTGTCAACTTTCATTCACTTGTCTTACAGACATAAGTAATGACTATACCATTATCAAATTAATTACCTAAGTTTTGATAAAACTGTGTTACTGCAACAGAACACATGTGATACGAGTGGAGTAGCGCCTCTACCTATAGCTAACGAATGTTCGCTGTTCAGTGCAGAAAACGGTTTATTTTAGCCGTGTTTGTACGGCACTTTATCGTTGGTTTGTGATTTGTGTGCGTGCTTGAATTTTCTTCTGATCAAAATTGTGGCGTCCGTTTCAGATGGCTGACACTCGGCGCGCGGGTGCTGCGCCTGTACGTGAGCACAGAGTCACCGTCTGACAGCCTGCGGCTCCTCGTGCAGTTTCTGGTGACTCACTACGTGCCGGTGTGGTTCTGCATCAGGCGACACCCCGACTGCACAGACGGTGCAAAGAACTTCCACCGTTCTGTGGAGCTTCTCCGAGAGCTGCCGGAGATGATCCAGGAGGTGGTGCGACCCGTCCTGCAGCGCAACGGGTACTGGGCGCATCCTGAGCAGGTGCTGCTCGCGATGGTGGCTGACGGTGACGCTGGCGTCCGACAGGAGGCCGTGCGCCACATACAGGCAGCCAGACAGCGCGAGACGGAGGACGTTCGGCCATTCCGGCTGCCGGAGCTGAACTTCAGCGCCTCCGCTTACACAGAGGTGATCAGCTGGAGCCCGCCGGAGAGTGTGACGCAGCCGCCGCTGCTGCGCCACCTCACAGACGAGCAGCTGCAAGCCAGGGTTGGCATTTTTGCCGGCAAAAACTAGTTTATGCCATTTGCCGGTTTAAACCGGTTTTAACCGGCAAAAAGTGGCAAAAACTGGCAAAAACTAAGAAATATCACAATGCTATGATTGGACATGAATTTGAACATGAAGCATTTTAAGGAGAATTCGGTGAAAGCTTTATGCTTTCAAACAGAAGTGACATTGACCATTGAAATGCTACATATCTCAAACATTTTCATGGGCTTTCCATAAGGAGCTAGTAAGATGCCTTTTGGGGTGACAAATGAGCCAGTGCAAGGGTGACTGGGTGAGTCCTGCACAATCAGAAGTGCGAAGGGGCATCTGCCACTGATTTGCGCACGGCACCGCATGGCACCTTACTTACCGTGGCTGTCTTGCCCCACTCTCCCCTACATGGAAATACGTTCCGTTGTGGATGCCGACATGCATAGACATTTTAAGCAGGGATAAGTAATGAGGCAGCTTTAGAATGTTTAGTGCATCTATATAACTACCAGAAATGCATTTGTACATTTCAAATCCATTCCTAACGAGAAAAGTTGTAGGTTTGGCCATCTGAGTTTTAGCCAGTTTTTGCCAGTTCTTGCCACCAGGGTTTCTGCCAGCCGGTTTAAACCGGTTAAAACCACTGGCAAAAACCAGTTTTTGCCACCCCCTGCCAACCCTGCTGCAAGCCATCGAGCACTCTCCGCTGCAGCTGCCGAACTACCCGGTCCACACGCAGGCGGTGGAGCGGGCAGTTCGGACCGTAACCGAAGCGTGCCTGGCGGTGCGTGGGGAAGAGGCGCGTCACGGCTACATCACTGCACGCCTGAAGCACCGCCGCTGCCATCCGGTCTTCGCTTCGAAGAAAGACTTCCAGATATGCTGAACTGCTCAGTGATCACTGTCACCCGTTCGTGTGACTGCCAGTTCGGTCCTGTCGCCGTGTCTTCGAAGTTGCCGTCGCCGCTGCCTTGGCCCGCTGCGACCCGCCGGGGCCTGCCCCTGCCGCTCGCTGTGATGTGGTTGTCGCTGCTGCCGCCGCCCCACCCCCCCCCCCCCGCCCGCCCCGCTCGGCCGGTTTTAAGAGTGCAGTGCCATACCGTTACGTGAATGCTCGGAAGATTTTCGTGTTTTTGCGATTCTGTAAAAGGATGTTTTCTTCATACGTGAATTATGTCGTGAATGAGACCCCATACGTGGGTGTCTGGTGTATGGTTTCGGCTTTCGGTTTGCGTCGGGTGCAGTGATTGATGTATTTTATGTTACATGTGGTTGATTAATACGAGGATTTTCACGAAAAAAAAGTTCGGTCCTGTCTCGTATCTCGCATTGATGATTCGAAGTGTAGTGAATGTTGCTTCATTTGTTAGCTATCGATATACGTGGCATTGTGAGATACCATGTACTGCATTCAGATGAGCCAGGCTCTCATGATGTTTGCTATCGTTCTATTTAATTAGTATTATATTGATAAGCACGGAAATGGCAAGTAAACGACATAAAACGGCGTTCGTGGAGCGGTCGGACAGGTTTTGCACTCAGCGCCACCTAGCGCCACTTATGAGAAGGAGTAGTTCCGCAATATGCCGTATGTTGTTCTGCAGATGGCGCCACTAATACAAATGAGACTGAACGGAGACACAAACTTTTCAGAAGAGGCCATCAAGTACGGAGTTTTGAGGGGAATTATCGTCCTAGATGATTTAGCAACATATCAGGGCACCAAATAATTCTAACGGCAGATCATTTTTGGATTGACGACACACCCTAGTGTGGATGACCGAAAACGACATATATAACAAGTATACCGGACTGGCCAGTTTCACTGAGGATGGACTTACCACACTGGCCGAGTACGCCATGGACGTCACCAGGGCCCTGCTGGACGTCACCGAGGGAGTGATGGTTCTGAGGCCTCCCTCGCCTATACGGCGAGGTCAACGGAGCATGATAGGACCAGACCTCGGCCTTTCATCTAGAGCGCAGGCTGTTCCACGGGCTCCAGGATGCGGTACAATTCATGCCTCTGGGTCGGCAGCTCACCAAGATGTGGGCAGGCCGCCACTCCTGCGTCGACGGTTGTGGGCGGTGGTATGCCATGGACGGCGTCCACTTGTCCACCGACGGGTACGCCAGGCTGGCAGACACATGGGTGTGGACCGGCTGGTAGAGGACGGCATCTGCTGCGGACGTCCCCACCTGCACCAGCTGGCCGACGGTTACATGATCGTCATCGAGGGAGAGGACTTGGCCCATGCGGCTGACCTATCGTCGGCCATGATCATGATCTGCGCGGACATGTACTATGAGAGCCTTCAAATGTAAGAAAAACATGGTGTGGTTCGTAACCACGCACGTGTTCGGGCTGCTCCGCGGCGAGGTCAAGCCCGACCATGCGGTCGTGGAGACAGTCGCCGCTCTTTGTGTGAAGCCCTGTAGCCTGTAGCGGATCGGCGGCGCCCCGGCCGGCAGGTAGCGCGGGCGCGTGATGTGAGAGGGGAAAACATCCCTGAATATACGTTTTGCCAGTGTCTAATGGTGTTACCTGCCGAATGCGGGCGGCAACGTGACGAGGCGGTGGGATGAAACCGCAAATGGAAGTGACGAAACGCTTTACAGGTCGCTGAACTCTTGGATAGGGATGGAGATCACTAGCCCCATCCCTATCCAAGAGTTCAGCGACCTGCAAAGCGTCAACCTGTGGTAAGAATGACCAGGGTGGGTGGCAAGCCCCTGGTAGCTTTGCCAGAGCTTGGGTAGTAGGGGAGAGTGGGGCACATTCGTGCAAAAAATGGATAAACCCATATATCTGTTCTTTGGTTAGTGCAATGGCAAAATTGTTGATTGTAGTATGGAAAGGAACTATTGCAGATAGTTTTCCTCTTTAAAAGTTATCCTATAAAATTATTGCTTCCATTAGAAAAAATGACTTTTATTAACTCTGAACATTTGCACGAAACTGCCCCACCTATGGGGCACATTCGTTCAAGAGATGGGGCACTTCCGTTCACCCGGCAAAATTCGAGAAATTACCGGGCATTACCAGAAATTTACCAAAGGAAATTGGCAGGGGGTCATTTCACTTGATTCCTTTCGACAAGAATGCATTGCACAACAAATGTAGAAAGAATGGGCTGGCCAACAAGAATGTGCCAACTGCCGGCCTCCGTGACCTCGCCAAGTTCGCGTGAATTGCTCGTCACGACGTCGCAAGCAGTCGAGACTGAGTCAGGCGAGCGTCATTAGAGAAACCTACTATACTTTATACAGATAAAGTCATAAATCGCAAAAACTAAAAAAAAAAATGCACTAATGTGCCCCCAGGCAGTGCGTACACGAACCTGCCCCACAACGTTATTAGTAATATATTTCAAAATTTCTTTTTTTAAAAATGACACTTTTTCAACAAACAAGTTTGCAGCAGTTCCGTGAATAGAGTGGGCTTCTTCACCCCCAATTTTGAAAAGCTGAACCACATTTCCGAGTCAGGATCACGAAAATGGATGATATGAGAAAAGTTTGGAAAGCTCATGAATATTACAAATTTGCGTTTTTATCAAGCATGACAGCAGGTACAGTGCTGTCTTCTACGGTGAACGAAGGGCGGCAATGATAGACATATTTCCATAATTTACCTTGAGCTCGTGCAGTCACTCGTGTTCCCATAAACTGCTGAAAACGAATGTGCCCCATGCACGAATGTGCCCCACTCTCCCCTACACCTGTAGTAACCTGTGCTGGAAGGGGCTAGTAGGCCCTTAGTAGCAGTGACAGAGGGTTGGTAATGTCTTCATAGCAGTGATTATGAGGGGGTGGTAAGCCCGTGGTTCAGTGACTAGGGGACCTGGTATGCCGGTGAAAGTAGTGACTAGGGGGCTAGTTACGCCATGGCTGCTTTAACCACCCCACCCGTGGTAAGGCCCTGGTTTAGGTCTAACTAGTGCAGCTGAGCCCGGACCTGCAGCGCGCCGTTCAGCAATTGTCACTCTGCCAGAAACGCTCCCGGCTCAACCGGCAGCGCCTCCATTGTCATCAGCTACATCACAGCCGTCAGCCAGTGACGCTTCCTCCGGCCGCTGAGCCAGAGATCGCTCCGGCGCCCGCGAGCGGACCCCAGCTCGCTGGACTACCCAGCCCCGAGACGAACTCTCGTCCGGCGCGTAACCGGCGTCCACCCGATCGCCTGAACTTGTAAACGCTCGAAACAGCTGGGAGGGAGGTGTTGTAGTTAGTATCGCAGCTAATTAGTGCCTACTGTTGTGTTGCAGCTAATTAGTTCTTATGTCACAAGTTTTCGCTTGTGGTGTTTACTGTTTTTAGACCCGTCCTTACACGAAGTTGTTATTCACCACGTGACTATGCCGTGAACCAAGCCCAGTGTTAAAGCCTCGACAAGCCTCAATAAATATGTTATAAGCTACGGACGTGGATGCAACACTCCCCACCTGGTAAAAACTGACACTAAGGGGTTACCAGGGGTCACGCTCTCAGTGCATACTTGTTCGTTCAGAAAGTGATGCTAAAAAATCGACGACGGAATGAAACTGCCTAGTAAGGTGGTGAAATTCTGCATGGAGCAGAGTGGGAGCATGCAAACGACCCATGACTGCAGGACTGTCGCACAGCTGCAGAATGTGCAAGCGCATGGCACAGAATGAAGTGTGCTGGCCGCGCCGTGCTGAGGCGCACGCATACATAGGGCGTATAGGGGCCCGGCGTGCTTGATTTGGCCTAATGTAGCAGGCAGGATGGCAGTTCAACGATTCCGTTTTCGCTTTTCGCTTCGTCTGATACACAGAAGCGCAGAATGTTGCTCAGGTTGCCAGGCACAGGTGCCAAGTGCAGGGACCGTGGGGTCTGCTGGCGGGCTTGATTTGTCATCGGACCTGGCGGGGGGTAGCTACCGTCTCCACTTCCTCTGATACACTGCATATAATGTCGTTAAGGATGTGCAGGTGCCATGGGCAAGGGTCGTGCAGGGCCTGGCGTGATTGCATTTATCTCAGTTGACCTGCGGGGGTGGCGGTTAAACGATTCCGTCTTTCACTTCGTCTGATGCATTTCGCACAGAATGTCGTTCCGCAGGGTGTCAGACGCAGGTACCATGTGCAGGACCCGGCATTATTGAACTCATCGGACATGCAGGTGCCGTCTACTAGTCACATGATGTAGCCATTCGTTGAATACAGCGTGCATTCTTAGCTATTGCTTATGGGTTTTGGGAGCGTGTTGGAACGGGCAGACGAGCAAACAGTCTGGCAGTGCATGAAAGGGCGACACAGCCTGCAGCCTATTATGAGAAGTTTTATCTATTGGAAAAGTACAGCTGCACTCACGGTAAAAAAAAAAACAGATTTGTCAGCCACGAGGACCTGGGAGCTGGAAAGATAGAGAAGACCCGGCTCGCCACCAATGCTTTAGTGTTTATGGCCGTCGGACTGAAGGGTGAGTGGCGCCATCCTGTGGTCTACTTCCTTACAGACCACCTGTCTGGTGAGACACAGGCAGAACTGTCCTCTGTGCTCTGAGCGCTGCGGGCCTGAAGGTGCAGACCTTTATCTCTGGTGGGCCTTGGTGTCAAAACACTGAGGGCCAACATACCTGCAACTACCCGTTGTTGGCCACCACTTCCTTCATACGACAACCAAACAAAAAGAAGACTCGGGCGCGGCCAGCGTAAACCAAATGCTGGCCATGGACGACGTAAAGAAGGTCGCGGACCTGACCTCCGAACAACAGCCAAATAGGTCGGCACGCGCACCAGGCAAGCACGGCGCTGCGGTCCGGCTCAAGACCCTCGGAATCATTCCCGACGCCCCCCCCCCCGATCCACGCATGCCAGGCGGGTGGCGACTGGCGAGTTCCTTTTCGGTGTCCCAGATGATTGGCAAACCAACCAACAACTACTAAAGATGATCTTAAAAGAAACGAACAAGGGCGATCAGCTACAGCTGCGACTCTGAGCAGATCGTAGTACGCCAATGGCTGATGTGGCCTGCAGAGAGCGTGGTTGAGAGCATGGCCAGCGTCGCCAAGGAAGTTTTCGGCACTCATCCTTGGCTGACCCACGAAAACGCAGCGAAGGGACTCGTCATCGCAGGAACGCCCCAGCTGTGGCTGCCACGGATACCCTAATCGACTGCGTCGGGAAGAAATACGCCTTCAATTTCCAGCGTGCGCGACCTAGCCTGTCTACCGCCTTTGAGCCGGGAACTGCGATAAGACGGCACAGGTCCAAAAAATGTGCAAAGGCAACCATCCTCCGTTTCTAGGGTTCAACACTAATCTGCAGCACATCTAGGCGAAGAACATTATTTGTAGAATTAAGCTAACGCGTATATGTGGCAATCAATACAAGACATTGATAACGCAGCTTTGTTTGTGCGACAGTCGCAGCTACAAAGTATGCGACGCATGTCCCTCAGCGTCTTGTGCAATCCGTGGGGAGTGAGAGGCTGAGCGAGGGAATCTGGTTAGTCTTGTGTATTTGCAAAACATTCACGTGTTCGTGCTATTACATTGTGAGTGCAGAGGCTTCAAAGGCAAACAAGCGGCTGCAGTGCTTCAAGAGCCACATGTCTAAAAATGTGCAAGGTCAACCATCCTCCGTTTCTAGGGTTTAGCACTGCTCTGTAGCAAAGTCCTAATTAGCCTTTCCCTGGTATCCATGTCATGATTTTCATTAGTTAATAAGGCTAAAAAAATGCTACAAAGGCTTGACTCGTATTTTTTCTTTCCAGTCTTCGGCATGAACAGACTGCGGATGAGGCAGTGTGACGTCCTCATGGCCATATCAAAGTCATGACAGGGCGCCGCGGCAGTGGCCAAGAGGAAGGCTGGCAGTGGCGCTCAGAAGTAGCGGCAACGATGGCTACATGATGCCTGGAGATTTCTGTGTGTGCAAAGGTTATGCATGTGTTCCTATTCACTTTTTCTTTGACCTAACCGCCAAACGTATTTTGTGCCAATATGTTTTTTTTTGTAATGCTGATTCATATTTTCGCGTCCACAGCTGTCTGCCAGACGAAAATGAAAATGCGGAGACAAGAGTTCGCGAGCACCATCTGTAAAGCGTGTGCCGACGCGAGGGCAGTCGCCAAGAGGAAAGAGGCGAAACACGTCGACGTGGCGGCTGGCAGTGGCGAGAACGGACGGCTATGAGCCCTCATCGCCTGATAGACACGTGTCTACCGCCAAAAGAGTTGAGAGACTGGTATGGGGACTAGAGGTGTCAATCGGAACCGAAAATTTTGGAATTCCGAAAATTTCCGAATTCCGATTCGGAAATCGGACGGACAAGTGACAAACACATCGGACATATTCGGAAAACTAGTTGAAGGTTACAAATTTCTTAAATAAGTTAAAGACCAAACTTATTTCCATTATCAATATCCAAATTGCCAAACATGTCATCAAAATTGGCAGGGCATGCTTCATACATCATTCATAATCATAGTGCAAGATGAACATAAACGTGATTGCATTTAGCGGGTAACCCTGAGTCAAATAAGGTAGGTACATACCCACATGTACCTACTGTGCCAACTTTTAACTCTTGAAAATGTGTTTACAAGTAGCAATAGCCAATATGTGACATTGTTGTCAGCAAGCCCATCATTAGATAACACAGTTATGAATATTGAATATGATATACAATTGACCTGTGGGAAGCACCAGACACCAAAGCAGTAAAGTAGGGAATCCAAAAATAGTTTTGCCTCACTGGAAAGCTAACAGAAAAGAGACTGAAGAAAATTGCAAATAGGTATCAAGGTGTGCCAAGTAGCACAAGAGTCTTACCTAGAACCTCCTATCATAAAAGTCATCCCCTTCTACCCCTTCCCCCAAAAATATCCGTGCCGAAATATCGAATACAATGCTACATAAAATATCAAAATATGCCGATAGCCTATCAATAAAATGATTACCAATAGGTGATGAAATGCGGCGAAAGCGTCATAAACGTCACCTAAGGAAAGATGGCCTCCCGATGAGAATCGGAGGAGACAAAAAATGATGTCTAAAACAATTAATACAGTAATTTTGCTTTACAATTGCATTATTTTTGAACAATTATGATAGTTTAAAATACATACTGAATTTAAATCAAACAATGAATGGTAAATGCACTTCAATAGGACAAATTCTATGATTATGACGTCATATTATTGATTTACTTTCACATCGACTCAAAACCGGATACCATGTTCCATGCTACCGAGAATGGTAGCATGAAATGTGCTTTTCATTCTACCAAGGATTTATACAACTTCTTTTTGCTTGTGAATTTCAGTGAATTTGTGTTAAATCATAGCAGGTATTTTTATTTTTTTGTGATCGCTTATTCTTTTGGATATTCAGAGATGTGTGGCTCAGTGAAGAGCACGTTTCTTCCAGATGTACCTATCTCACATGTTTCTTCTCACATGAACTATTTTGCTTTTGCAAGAAGTGTTCTACTTTACATCTCAACCAGTGCGATATAAGATGAAGACATGCATCATTATTGTAAGTGACTAGCTGCTTGCATTATTGCTGTATTGATTCATCATCAAGTGGCTTAGTGTAAGGGATGTGGCATGAAGTCATTATTTGAGAACGCAAGTTCAAAAGAGTTGTGAGTTGGAGGGATATGCAATGTTTTGCATTATTCCTGCTTACTCAGCTTCAGTTGTAGGCTGTAGCACATTTTGAAGCAGAATAGGCTTGTCTCAATATGCTGTTCTTGTGTTGTATATCAGATTAGGGCTATTGCCCTAATGCTCATTCCCTACTGCATATGATATTGCTTCAACATTTTTAGTTTGCAATATTTTGCACTCAAAACCAGATGGCGGATCTGTTATTTAGTTATCATGTGGTACATACAAACATATACCTAATATAGATCAATTCCCCCACCCTCCCTTTCCATGTCCAGCTTTCGGACAGTTTTCGGACAAATCCATGCCTTGGACATTTTTCGGACAAAAGTGTGCTAGGATTTTGGACATTGGACGGACATCGGACAAGAAATTTCTGAAATTGACACCTCTAATGGGGACGGTGGGCGGCAGGCATC